TTTCAAATTTTCATTCTGTAGTAGAATGTTTATAAACATGTGGTAACATGTTTATGAACATGTTACTGATATAATTATGTTTCTAAAGTTGTATTTAATGGTAGTAGTATTTATAAAGTAGAAAATGTAACCTGTACAAAAATGGCAGTTTTGATTCTACTTCTATTTCTGTTTCCCTCATATGTAAAAAATCACCTTCTTATCTCTTTTCATTTTGCTCACCTGGACACCTCAATTTATTTTTTTCTTGCTGATTTCTATTCCTATGACTTATGAGGTCTCCTGTATATATTTTGGGTGATCTACCAATTTGGGAAATTGTAGAAAGAGAAAATCACAGTGCTCTCTCAAGTGATAACATATGAAGATCAATCATACTCTGTTCTGTGGTGGCTAACTTTATATTCCTCGCCCCCATAACTTGTTCTCCTCTACAAGAGAGCACTCATATTGCAGGAGAACTTGGGACCCATGCTGCCCATTTATACTGCACATCAAATTTAATAGTAACATTCTGACTTTAATTAAATGCTTCCTCTTAGAAATCTTAACAAGTTGATCTAATTAATAGAGGAAATGAACATCCAACAATGATAGTGTAAAGATATTAAACAGATGGAACAAGGTAAAATAATTTCTAATAATCTGTGGGAATGGAGGACATAGTACCCTCTGCATATGTGTCTATTCTACACTTATGGATGTGTGCTCAGAGCGTTCATCCTCCAGTAAGTTTTCTTTGTTGGAGGAGTTAAAATTTCCTGGATAGTTCAGTCTTGTTCAGAGTACTGGCTGTATCTGGTCCCCTCTGACCCAACCATTTTGGCTTAAAGGGCTTGTACTCCATTTTACTTTTGTAGTAAATGAAGGTGCACCACCTTTTCGAAGGGTTATTTGTACTTGTCCCCTCTTACCTTATCTTCTTACTTTGTGAATGATGAGGTTACAAAGACTCTATACATTTGGCTCTATAGTTAATTAGGGAGAACCTGAAGTTTCTCATATGACTGCTTTGAAAAAGGGAGCATTCCTAGGAATAGGAACTTTAAAAAATGTAGGCCAGTTAATCTTTATAAGTGGAAAGCTCAAACAAAAATATTACTGTTCAGATCCAGGAAAGTGCCTCAACCTCTCATCTGTCTTCAAAATGGAATAAAAATCCCAACGGAGGGGGAAAAAAAGAAAATAAAAGAATGAAGAGGAAAAAAACCAACCCAAGCCCTATATTTTTATATTTCGTCTCTCATTCTGTTGGAACAGTGTGACAACTGGGTGCTCGGTGTGTGTTTTTTCTTTTGTTCAGCAATTTCCCTATTAGCATGATGTTCTTGAGGCTTTGTATTTAGAATCATTATTCGGAAAAAGAATTTAAACCAGAGAAGGTTTGATTTTCTACATTTTCACCTTTTTGTGAAGCAAATCAGATGAGCTCTGTAGACACTAGCTAGGCTGAAACACTATTAAAAATGCAATTCTGACTGAGGCACTGCTTGTTATTTTTATAAGTGAGACCCTAATTCTGATTGACCCCAAAGAATGGGCTGCCATGACTAAGCAAGCAACAGAAGGCGACTGGCTTCTGCGGATGTTATCTCATTTGGAACACATTTCAAACTTTAGAACAGATTTTTAAATTGGGAGTTGAAACTTGCAGACTGTCAGCAGAAGAGGCTGATTCACTCCCATGGAACTATCTTACTTCAAGTTACAGAGTTTTTAAAGAAGTAGGTTGTGATACATCCAAGAGAGATATAAGAATCACCTTCCAAAATAAGGGTGACGTGTCTAGCTAATACATCTTTTGGACTTGGAATGTATGCTTATTTGAATCAGGGCTTCTTTAAATTAGAAACCTCTAGCTTTGTCTAACTTGTGATTGTTCATGGATCTCTGAAAGGTTAATGAATTGTTTTTCTTAAAATATTTCTTTAGTGGTGGGGGTTCTTCATGTGCAACTTTATGAGTTACAGCTTTAGCACCATTATTATTATTGGGTAAATTTGAATGGAGGAAGAACATCTTGACAAGGTCAGGAAATTTTATATTGCTGGTGATGAATTCCTTGCTTTTATTTGGAATCATAGAAAAGTTACCGAAAATCTGGATACCCAAACAACTGTGCACATACTCTCGAATTCCTTAAATTAGAGGAACTACACAAAAGATGCCCATGATAATGATTTTTTGACCTGGCTTGAGTGTCAAAATAGCATTTAGAGAATATGATCTTGTCTATGAAGAAAAAACTGTTACATGCTTATTATCGTAGGTAACAAATCAATGATGCAACTGAACTACAGAGAGAGATGCATGGAGTGACCCACTAGATGTCCCTTCCAACTAAAAAAAGTTTCTGTCATTCAAGAGTAAGTTGCCTTAGGAAGTTGGCATTCGTGACTGCAAAGCAAGTACGGGCCAGAAGAGGGGACCACACGTTTCAGTTTCACTTCCTTAGGAAGATACATAGTTTTATTCAGAATATCTGTCATATTTGATCTTTTAAAAAAGTCCTTCTATGGGACAATCACTCAATTAGCTCTAAATAGATAATCAGAACTTGTTTTAACTTATGATGCATTTGCAATAAGAAAGTAGCTTAAAAAAAAAAAAAGAAAGAATAAGTGTCTTTTGATACCCTGGAACTGTAGTTGTGCTTTCTAGAAATTTTAGCAGTTTCAAGTATCTCAGAGCGATATTTTGCAGGATAGGTTTTTTATTTTTATTTTCATAAGTAGGAAGAGTGCCTCAGAGCAAGTTTTTACTTGCAAAGCTGATGGAAGTGGTGGGTGGAGGAGGTAAAGTACATGTTTTCTGATAGTAGGCAACTTGGTAGAAAATGATTTTGCTTCTATATATTATCTTTGTAGAGTTAGCATTAAGAAATGTAATTGCAACAAATTGATGTAAAAGCCAGAGAGTAAAGGGACTGAAAGTCCCTGTAGAGACACCAGTCTGTCATTTGCTTATAATGGCAGCGGAAGATAATTGTAGACAACTACAGTATAACTAAACCATTGACATTTTCCTTCAAAAATGTGCTGCTGCTTCTCATGTTTTTTTTTTTTTTTTTTTTTTCCTGAAGAAATTGGTTACTTCCTCTGCTTCAAAAGTATGCCCTGAACCAGCAAAATAGGTAGGAAAAGATCTGCCTTTTGTTTTCCCCCAATGCCTGCTTAATTAGAACACACCAAAGAGCAAAAGTGGGTGAGATACAATCCTGTGTGATTGTATTTCCCAATAAATTGTGGGGTTTCTTTTAAGTTTGGGAGCTCTGCATGGAAAATCTGGCCTCTGGCATAAACTTTGCCCTCCTCCTTAGGACACAATGAAGACATCTGCTGGGTCATATCCCCTTCCTTCACACAACTTGCTTTCCGGCTCTCCAAAAGAGCAAACACAGAGCCATGCAAGTGCCATTACACAAAGGATGATCTCAAGCTAACCTGGAAGAGATTTATTTTCCCCGAAGTAGAATCCTAAGGGTTTTCCTTTTCAGGTAAAGGCATCAGCAAGAGAAGAAAGGAAATCAGCAATCCTTGCCCACCGTTTGTATAAGCATATTTGTTATTCATTCTCAGAAGAGTTGTGCATTGACTAGGTAGGTCCTTTTCCAGCACAGGGAGGAGTTGGCACCTCCTGGACAATGAACACTCGGAAAGCGCATATTTTGCATGTGCATCCCTCCAGAGCAGCCATGCAGAGCAGCATTCTAGAGGGCAAAACCTCTTCTTTCCCACTTACGTGCTTCAGGAAGTGGAAGTGAAGATTGGACAAGTCATGGGCCCAATACACCTCTTTAGTGTGAATATCATAATTAACATGTCTTTACAAAAAAAAAAAAAAAAGAGGGAGAGAGAGAAATGTGTGTCTATTACAGACGATTAAACTTCTAGGCTCTCCACTGTTCTCGGTAGTTAACTCAGGTGAGCAGCCCCGTGTGCTCGCAGAGACCTGCATATAACTCCCCATAAAATATGGATTTTATTGCAGCAGTGACAACACTTCTCAGCACCACACTGACCTCTCCAGCATCTCCCATCTTAAAATCTCCCGCAACTCGTGGCAGAAGAATAACTACAGAAGTGATCTCAGCTCTGCGACTGCTGCAGTGCACATTGCAACGGCCCCTGTGATTAAATTCCCGGGTCAACAAGCAAAGCACGCCGAGGCTCCGCTCTCCTGCCTCGGAGACCCAACCCCGGGCGCACCCCGTCTGCTCTCCACCCAGTCCGGCAGGCGGTCCACCCCCCGCTTTGTGCCTCGCCAGCCAGAGAGCACGGGTGGGCGAGCTGCGTTAACGCATGACTTCTCCCTGGACAGTGTGCTCCATTTTCCGAGTCCAGTGTTGGACTTTTCTTGCCATCGGAGCATTTCTGTCCGAGCGAGCAAGCAAGCTAACAGTTTTCTTGAGCCCCGTCTCTGGGCCAGATCATCTCTTTAGCTTAAGTTTTCCTTATTGGGAGCAGCCAAGAGTTCTCAAGCCACCCGATGTTCTGCGTTACTCCAAAGCCAGGGAACGTAACTCAGCCAAAGCAGCCCCTGCACAGACCCTGGTGATGCGGCAGGTGGAAATAAATCAAGCCCCAAACGGCCCTGCGGGTCCTGCACTCACCAGCGCCCTTGGTAATTGACCAGCCAACTTTGCAAATGCCGGCGCTGCCCTGGAAGCCTCTGCCCGGGAGAGAAGGGCAGCGGGCTCTTCCGGCGCCCCGTTACCTCGCCCCCCTCCAGCCCCGAGCGGATCCGTCTTACCAGGAGGCGGGGGAGCAGCGCCCAGGCTCCCCGGGAAGCGGCGCTGGTCCTGGGCAGCAGCGGCAGCGCCCGCTGGACCCGCGTGCCCACCCCTACCCGGGCTGGCAGGCTGAGCATCCCTCCCAACTCCGGGCGCGCAGCTCCCACCGAGAGGGCTCTTTCTGATTGGCTTCCATCAAAGCGATAGAATTAAGGCACCGAAAAGGCATGCACGGCCGCCACCCGCGGCCACCGGAGATCGAACCCACCTCTGCTCGCCTTCCGGCGCCCGGAGACCCCGCGACCCGCCCAGGCTGCTCGCGCCGCCGCGCTCCCCACTCTGCGGTTCTCGCTGCCGCGGCTGGAACTGCAGCTCGAGGGATGGGAAGGTTACGGCTCGGCTCCGGAGAGCTGGCTCTTGTGGGCACACACTGATTTGCAAGTGAATGAAGTGGGAGGGAGCAAAGAGAGGAGGACTTTGTTAGCGAGGCCCAGCGCCTGCCCCCACCCGCCCCCTCCCCTTGACAGAATGACTCCCTGTGTCTGAAGTCCTGAGCAATTCGCTCCCTTAACACTCCGGCAGCCCAGGCTTTCCTTTCTTTTTCTTTCTTCTTCTTCTTCTTCTTTTTCTTTGCGGGGGTGGGGGTGGGGGTGGGGGTTAAGACATACTCAGAACTTAGGTGACTCTGCCTGCTCCTTCCTTTATACTATCGGAAGGCAGGCACCCTGTGCTCACAGCAGCAAGAGTCTGCTGTTCTTATTTTACCAAGCGAGAGTGAGCAATTACAATTCCCAGGGACACAGTGCCTCCTCCGCTATCAGTGGGCCAGCTTCGTGTTACCGCCCGCAGAACGTGCACACATGTAAAACCAGCCTGGTCTCCCGAGAGAAGGGCACGGATGGCTTTTCTTGACAACACACACAGGCGCCCCCCAGACGCAAGCGGACATAGTTCGGAGGAGGCTTTCCTTCTCTCCTGCCAGGTTTCTACATAGTCCTCTGATCTCCGTGACTCTTCCAGAGCGAGTAACCCTGGGGTGCTGCAGCACGAAGCCATGCTTCCTGGGTTTGCAGAAACACGTGAAATGCAAACCCTTCAGGCTCACCATGACTTAGGACTGATTCCATCTTTCTAAGTGAGTTAATAATACAAGGCTACCCAGGACTTGTAGAAGAGGGCTGTGTAATGATATTCAAGGTCTGTTGAACTGGTTTAGGAGCTTTCAGGAAAGTTCCTGCAGTAGGATGACCTCCAGATTAAACTCTTTGGGGCACATCGTTTGAATAGCTATATTTATAGTCCCCCCAAAGTAATTTCTAATATTGGGGAGCCCAGCTGCAAAAAATCTTAATCATGTCAAAGTATTATTAAATGCGAGTAATGGTTTTCCGAATAGGAGATGTAGACATGATGGAGCCAGGCACTGTTGGATTAGGAAAATTAAATCTAATTACCACAGTGATCGCACCCGGGGTCAGCAGCCTCCCAAACCAGCTGTTCGTGTGTCTCTAAGTTCACGGGGAGATATCCGGCGCATGTTGCTCTAAAACAAAAATCCGGGCTCCTTTGGCCTCGGAGTAGTTAAATTGGTTGGAGGTTGGTCTCTTTCCCAGCTGAGCTTTTACTAGAAAATCTTTTGTTTCTCCAATAGAAGTCCAGGCATTTAAATAAAGCCCAAATCAAAGTCTTTCCTCTAGGCAGTCAGTGCTTCAAAGAAGTGTGCATGGAATGGCTTAGCACAGATGTTCCACACATGCAAGATAGAAAGACTTTGAGTTTCTTTCTTGAAAAGATCTTCCCCTAACGAAGAATTGCCACCAAAAAGAGGCTGATCACTTGTTCATGCAGCTCTTTAAACTCTTGTGGAGACAGAATAGGCAGAAGAAAGCTGCTTTTCATCCATAGCCCATTCCTCAGATTATGAATTTCTTACACACTTAATTGGGAAAACTAGCTCCTTAACTTTGTATAATCCTTTACTACTTACAGAGTACTTTCATAGACTGTTTTATTTGAGTCATCTTTCAACAAGTGGTGTGGTTTCCCCCCATTAAGACAGAGGACGCATATTGATGAGATGGCATAGGTTAAGTAACATGTGCAACACAAGAAACCTGCTAAACAGAAGATGCAGAAGTATGATTCGTAAACTGTGTGTAGGTGTGTGTAGATGTAATTATAAGTATGCCAATTAAATGTCACATTTTAGGATTACCTTTACAGAAAGATATGCAAGATTGACTGATTTTTATGGTAAAAGTGGGATAATGGTAAAGTTGATATTCTACCCGTTGCACCAGTTAATATCTCACAAAGGAAATCTCTAATTGTTTGCAATATACTATTCTTCAAACCCCATTAAGTCACATATCAAAGGTGATTAAAACAACGACTTTTCCTTTAAGAGTGGATAAACAAACAATTTGCTTCTGGACAGTTCAAGTGGCAGCATTAAATTGCATAAAGGATAGCACTTAAAGTATTGTCTTTCTTAAACATTTTACTTTTTTTTAAGGATAGCACTTTCATACTAAAAAACATGTTTTGTGTGGTTTTCGAGGATTTCTAGATACATTTACCACAACAATTATTAGTTTTTATTTACATGATTGATGTAAATATTCAATTATTTTATTCTCATTTTAGAGATAAAGAACTACTGAGCATTGACTAAGGTTAAATGATTGCCTGGCATCACATAAGTACTGTTCCAGTTCATTCTTTGGCACACCAAAACATGCCGGCAAGTAACAGAAGCTAATCAGAAATAGTTAAGCAGATAAGGGGGTCCTTGCTATCATCATGTAGTGTCCTCTCACGAACCTGGAGGGAATTCTGCGGGGCCTCCGAAAGGCCTGGGAGCAGACACCCAGACTCCACTCTAGCTGTAGTGCTACTTTCTTCTCTTGACTGGGCTTCTGCTCCTGTTTTGTCTGCCTCCTCTGGCCTTCAGTCCACAGGGCAGAAGAGCACCACCCACAGTTCAGAGCTTCCCTGTGGCAAAAGGAGGGAGTTTCTCTTTCTGCTACATTGCCAATTTCTTGGAAAGTAGCTCTGCTTGGTCAGGTGTTCCTCTGGACTGGTTGGCTAGGGCTGGGGCAGGAGGAGGCAACAAGGTAACCTACAGGCTGGCTCCCCTAGGACCAAAATGAGGGGCTGCAGCTAGGGAGTGTCCTTGTGACCTAAGAAGACATTTCTAAGGGTGTGCCATTCTCCATATCCTCTTGTTTTGTTTAGTAATTGGGTAGCATCTCACCAGTTTTTAGGCTACTTCACTATTTTATATACTTCAGTAAAACATACTTGTATTTTTCCCCTTTTACAGCTTACAAAGTTTCAATGTTAAAAAAATACTTCTTCAAAGACCAATATTAAGGATATTAATTTTGATGAGGGCTTTCTCAACTTCCACTAAATCTCTCTTCAGATGATTAAGAGGCTATCTTATTCTTGTAATGGGGATGCATATAAATAAATAATTGCAAGTTCTCTGACTTTCTTTTCCATAATACACATCTGTATGCAATGATGATCTGGTAAAAAAAACATTTTCATGATCATCAACTAGTATTCCTGATTAGAAGAAAAAAAAAAAGTTCACTTTCAAAACCACATGCCTAATTACGAATCTTGGCATGGATGGTTTTGATTCAGCCAGTCCAAATCTTCTACCTAAAATTTACCCTAAATGTGTTGTTGCTGGTGAAAGCACAGACATTACAATGCTTATTACTTAATCATCATGCATGTGCACAAGTGGACAGATTTCACTGAGAAATTCACGTCTGTTCCCCACCTCTGTCCTGTGTGTGTGTGTGTGTGTGTGTGTGTGTGTGTGTGTGTTTAAGGTGGGAAAGAGGTTTAAACACTCTGGATATTATTGAACTGAAACAAAGGAGACAGGAAACCTCGATGGAATTCCCCTTTTGTGAGTGCCATAGACATCTCAATACAAGCTAAAATAAATTCACACAAACTTCATGTGCTCATCCAGGTTTTCTAATCTTGGGAGAGTTCCCAATACGGTATTTAAAAATGGGTTGGATCCCAGGATGCATTAAGACATTTCTCTCCTGATCTATTTGACTCATCACTATAGGTAGATCACAATAGCCAGGAGATTTCCAAATGACAGAAATGCACAGCAGCAAAATGTTATTGCCCTACACAGGACATTTCAGTACTCTGGGCATTTCAGGGTAGGTGGGGAAGACTTCATTTTTTACTGAATTCTTTTCACATTTTATTCACTGCTTTGCGATGGAATCTAAATTTGCTCGCTCAGATGTGTATAACTCATGTATGGTGGGCTGCACTATGCCGCTGAAGAGGCATGTCCTTGTTTAGAAGAAACAGCTCATTGGAGGATATGAAATATGTCAATATATTCTTTGAAATAACTGGCCTATATTTAAACCACAATAAATGGAAATAGACCAGAATAAACAGAAAATTCTACACTTGCATCCAGAGGGAAATATTGATCTGTTTTGGCCATCATTTTGTCTCCTGGTGCTCAAAAAAGTGCTTGGTACTTATTTGTATAAATAAATAGAGATTCAGACAACCTATAAATGGATTCAGTAGACAGAAACTGGAGATGGTTCATAGATGTAAGATCCTGCTTATGAACTAAAATCAATAAAACTGGAAAAGGGAAGGTTCAAGTTGGCCATGAACACTCTTCAAATACTTGAGGAACTGCCTATGGAAGAAAATTAGGCTGGCTTTTAATGTGATAGAAGCTTCAGTTAGTATCAGCTGGTGAAGCTACTGGATTATTACATTTCTTTGATTCTGAAGTACCCATATTTTCATATTTTAACGTCTCTGAAATTTTGATGCCTCTTACATTTGACATGATGAGAAAGCACCATGTCATGTTATAATGGGCAGTGCCTCTTCTTTCTTAGTGACACAAACCAATGGTAGTAAGTAAACTTACTACCATTGACTTCTTAGATCTGATTACGTGCAGATGGTAGATTTCATCTCACCATATGGAAGAATTTTCAAGCTATTAGTGCTGTTCAAGATGAAAGGTACTGTCAGCTTTAGGATAGAGAAGGCTTCCATCCCTGAAGTCATTCTACCACAGACTGACAAACAGTTATAAATGAACTCAAGCATAGGATTTGGGATTGAATGATCTTTCACATCTTTGTCATACTTGAGATTCTTGAATTTTGATCCAACCTTCTTATTTTAGTAGATGAGGAAAAAAGGATCACACAGTTTGAATGCTTTGTCTAAAGTCACACATCTCATCAGAGGCCAAAACTGGACTATTCATGTCTCTTATTTCCCAGTCTGAAGATCCTTTCATTTACTATTTATCCTTGTTTTCTCGGAGACTCACAGAAAATGGGTAGATAATAATATTTTGAAAAGAGCAATAGCTAATATTTA